GGGGCTTGCTGAAAATAGCACATCGTCAAAAAGCACCAGGTGTTTGCCAGGACTTTGGAAGCACTCACCTCCAGGCTGCACTGTGGAAGGCAGGACGTTCTCTCCGGCCGATAAGGACACAAAAAAAGCAAAGGGAATTAACCACAGGCAGAACGTGAAGTAGGCAAGAACCTGCAGGCACAGCAAGAGAAGCAGTGAAAGCCAAGTCACGACAGATCCTCTGCAGCACCCGGTCACTCGCTCAGTGGCCCTGCACACTGACCTCTTATTCGAGCAGATGCCCACAACTTGCAGTGCTGCCGTAGTCCAGCTGGAGAACGGCAAAAACGGCATGTCTGATCCACCCCTTCCTTCCTACCCCCAGAGTAAACTGCAAACGGGCCACGTCCCAGGGGCCCAGCCGAGAACTGCTCCCTGCTTCGCGTGATCTCCAACTGCTCTGTGACAGGAGCTGCGTGGGTGGGAGGGAGACCTGGAGAGTAGCCCTCCCGCTGACTCAAACCTCATGCAGATCTCTTTCTTCGCAGAAAAATCACTCCACTGGGCCTGATCTGTGGGCGCATTCGGAACGCTACCTCTGGCTGCACACACTAACAAATTGGTCTGCTTTTGTTTTGTGAACCTTGCCAAGCTCACGCAGCTGAGATAGGGAGCTGAACCGGCCTCTGGCTTGTGCACTCGTTGTGAGCAAAACTGCAGCATCCTGGGAAGTAGCTATGGGATAAAGAACTCACTCAGCAACTTCCAAGAAAAGAGAGGGAAGCTACCAAACATGCAGAGAAAACCCTTACTTTCTGTCCTAGACTTCTCAAAACCCTCACTGCACTCAAAAAAAATCAGAATCTTAAAGAGCATAAAGCATAATTAAACAAATAGGAAATTTACTGTGCTGTTGTGACTAACTAAATCCTCCTCATAACTTCCTGGGACTAAAAGCAACAGTCAGGATCTGGGTTTACTCCCATTGCAATGACGGCCCCAGGGTAAGACATTAATTTAGCATCATTCAGAAGAGCACCCAAATTACTAGTTATGAGAGTACTGACCAGCTCTGATCTATTTTACTGCTGAGAGGTGATGATCTATTACAGTTGCACACCAGCTTCCTTGTGCACTGAAATACTGAAAAAGTGTTGAATTTCAAAATGCCTTTTTTTTTTTTTTAAACTTCCATTAAGTGGCACCTACTGTTGGGCCAAAACAGACAGGACCCTTTTTGAATTTGGGCCTTAATCTCCCTTGGTACCCTCGGTGTGAGGGCGGTGAGACAGCTGAGTCAGGATGTCAGAGACATAAGAACAGTGAGGGGCGATAATTCCAAAAGGGAAGTGATTTGTGGTCAGCTTGCAAACAATTTTTTTTCTACTTCTCCTAACTTGTAGCACTTCAGAAAAAAAAAAAAAAATCCGCATCAATGTTTCTGCCCTTCAATTGGCTGAGAAAGCACCAAGTCCACACTCAGGGGCTCCAGGAAAGACCTTGGAGCTTCCCAAGTACTTCCAAGGGAACTAGCAGAGAAAACCTCCAGAGAAGTTCTGAGAAAAATATTCTCAGCATGTCTCATAGCTGATTGAAAAAGGGGCAGAAATCCATTTTCCTCTTCTCCCCTTCCCACCAGCCTACAGCCACATGCTGCTCAGAAGAATAAGGGATTAAATCAGCTCTTTCCAGAGGGAGTCTCTTACCTCAGAGAACAGGTAATACTCTTCAGCAAAGTACTGGAATGCTAAGTAGTGATTCAGTATAACCAGCACTGCCAAAGAAAAACAAAGTAAGTCTCCAGTCCGGAAACAATAGCATCCACTTATTTCAAGGTCCCCTAAGGAGGGCAAACACCTCTGTTACCACAGATCTCCCTGAGAAGCAGCTTGCCACAGTCACAATTCCCCTTTCCCAACAGCCCATATATACCTGGAACCTTGCTATTGCTAAAATGTTTTCTGGTTGCACAAGCGTCTAGTGAGAAATAGTGTGAGCAGTCAGAGCCCCTGAGTCCTAGCTTCTTTTTATTACTCTATACGACCCTAGGCAAACCCCTTTTCCTCCTAATACTACGCTTTATTCACACTGTCCCAGAGGGCATTCTGGAAAGCCCAGCCTGGTACTTGCTAATGCTGCACAACATTAAGAGAGAAAGCGAAAAATCTTGTGTCCGTGACAGCTGCTGCAGAGACAAGCTATTCTGCATCTGTAAAACAAGTCAAGCTGAAATGCAGCCAGGACAGTAGGGTTAACACCATTTAGCTCTTAAAGACCAAGAATCTGAGCTTCCTTTGCCTTTTTATCTGAGATGCCGATACAGCACCTCCAATCCAGGAGCACCGTCTCCATATAGTCCAAGGCAAGAGACAACCCCGACACCAAATGCCACATGCTACACTGCTTTCCTGTCTTCTCCGGCCTAAGAACATACCAAAGACACAAAAGGGAAGAACTATTAGTGAGAAACCAGGTCTGCTAAATAACCCAGCTCCTGAAAGATGTACCACAGGAGAGCTACGCTCATTTTCAAGTAGCAGATAAAATCCTGCCCACTTGAATGCTTTGAGAAGATATTTTAGTCATACACAGACGGCACCCTAAAATATGCATAAGAACTCCAGAAAGTCATGCTGGAAGAAATTTCACCCATTCAGTACTTAACGTGTCACTACAGATCATTCAGAAGCAGAGATTTAAAGTCGCATCCCAGCACAGCGCTCTAAAACACGCAGGAGAATCAAGAACTCATGTTGGAAGGAAACCACTGAAACTAGTCAGTGCTACCAAAATCAGTTGAAACGACAGAGCTACTGGCACATCATCTCAGATTGAACAGCACACCTAGTCGTGAGTTCAGTCTGCGAGAAAGCTCTGCCTATGTATCAGCTGAGCGCAACAGATAAAGGAAACGGAAGGATGCTCATAGCCACGCAACCTCGAGGAAGCACAGCGCAAGACTGTCAATGAGAGACAAAGGTTAACGTATTGATCGGTTCAGCGCTCTGCTCTGCTGCCTCTCAGATGCCCAAGGCGTCACAAGCATCTTGCGGAGACATAGCTGAGATCATTTTAAACCTGAAGCATCCACTGTAGAGCCCGAAGCCAGCTCCAGCCCACCAGAATGCCGAACCCAGCAAGTCCCTGTCCACGGGGCTCCTTGGGTGCGGGCAGAGAGCGGACAGGGAGCCCTGCGTGTGGTCAGGCAGTCTGGTTTCCCACTGCCCCATTTCCCTGGACCTCTAGGGCTCTCCCTACCCTTGACCCACAGCACCTGCCCCATGACCACTGCATGCGCAGCCTTGCGCCAAGCGCAGGCCTGATCCCGCGGCTCTGTGTGCGCTCAGATGCCGAAGGGACTGCGGCTGGAACCACCTGCAAGGTGTCGTGCACTCAAGACACACGGCCCTCAAAGCCTCTGCAAAAAGCAAAGCAGCCTGCTTTGGCCAGAATATCAGTGCTGGTAGTTTAAACTGCAGCTCAAACACCCGAAACAGTCCTGTGCTCAATTAACACCATGGCTTACCCAAGCACAGCAAGGAAGCCTGCAGCAGACCCAGGAGCGGAAACAGGATGGCCACAGAAACTTGCAAATACCACAGGAAAGGTTTAAGTGTGAAAGATAAAAATCCTTGACTTAAGATCTGTAAGGCGCTTTTTAAACTGGATTTTCTACAGTGATCTTGATGAATTTCTGGATATAGCCTTAGATATTTATTTCAAAGCTTTCTTTTCTCTAAACATCAGCTCCTTATAGCGATACGTTATGTACTGTCTTTACAACATACAGTCCAACATGACATCATGCTACAATGTACACACTATCATGGGGGGTTTTCACTTCGCTTTCAAAATCTACCTATTCTTTATCATAACGAACGCACAGAACATGAGATCTCTCGATGGCGGTCTCCAAGAAGCGCAGCGGAAGCTGAGCTTTGGCCTAGCGCACAGAGCAAGTCCTGGAATTTTCCCCAGCACTGCCACGTGACTTTGGACGCGTGTCCAGGGGAAGCAGAGCTGACTTGAGGGTGAAGCCTAGCCCTGAGACCAGCACAGCCATAGGCCTTTTCCTGCTCTGCTGCTCACTCCCAGTGTTGCAGCCCAAGGTGAAAGGAAACACAGAAATGAAAGGCACTTCCCAGGCCACCCAGCCCAGCCCACAGTTATCACTGGCAGCTGCATCATAAAGTGTGATTAAAAGGTACTGTACAAAGCTCAAAGTCCTGGCTCAAGCCTTCCTAAAGCCACAGAGGCTTAACAACAAAACCCCAAACTTTGCCACCCTCTGGCCAGAGCTCACACTGCAATGCGGGGGAGGAGGGAGGCTTTCTTTATCCCCAGGGCCCACTCCCACTGGAAAGACTTGCCACCCTTCCCTCCCCTTCCGCAGCCCCACTCACCACAGGACAGTATAAAATTTGGAGAGGTCAGCATGATGAAAGGGAACGTCTGCAGCAAGCCAAAGTACACCAGGTTGGTGAAGAGGCCCACGCCCACCATGAAGCCGGGAAAGTGTTCGAAGAGGTACAGGCCCACGAGCACGGCCGTGGAGAACTGGAACACAGAAGGGGTGCTCAGCCCCACCTGCGCCGAACACCGAGGCCCTGCAGGCGCCCAGTGCCCGGCTGACAGGGGGACGGCAAGCACCGAGCGCCTCCAGGCAGAGCCGTGCCTCCCCCGGCACTTCCGCGCTTCCCTCAGCTCCCACCCAGAGGCTCCATTTCAGATCTTGGTATCACACAGAGGAAACGCAGCTAAAGATCTTTTTCTTCTGCAACAAGCTCTTAGGCTAAAGAGGCAAAGCGCAGCTGCGTTCGCACCTCACGCCCCCGGATCCCTGCACGCTTGCTGCCGGCAGGCTCCCCAGCTGCACGTGGGCAGCCTGGCAGGCACGAAAGCAGGAACCCTGGCGTTCTCAAGGTCACTTTCCTGCACTCCGCCAAGAAACACGTCTTGCACCTTCTCCAGAAGCGGGAAACGGAGAGCGTCCTCCGCTCCCCTGAGGAAGGCTGCCAGCAACGGCTAATGCAAACGGCGGCCCTGAGGGGACACGGTGAGCTCTCACCGACTTGGCACCGCTGCCCATGCCCACACACCTCCAGTCGGCGTCGGGCCTGCGACGCAGCGGCACGCTGGGAAACGGCCAAACTGCAATCCCCCGTTCCTTCTGTGGCTCCTGCTAGGACACCTGTGCCTCGCTTTCCCCAGCTAAGGATAAAATGGGTTGCCCAGGAAGGGTTAAGCAGGATCATCACCCTCCCAATGCAAACAAGGTACAATTTAGAGGCTGTTTACACACGCAACAGTCACTGCCAACCTCTCCCCTTAGGGCTGCCGCCAGCAGAAGCTTCCTGAGCCCTCGTACCCTGGACACAGAGCAGGGAGATAGCTATTTTAGCCAAAACCAAAGCAGACGTGCTGCGTGACAGTTGTCCTGCTGTGAAGCCCTTCCCCAGGGGAAGCTGGCTGAGTCCCTTCGCTGGCCTCTTTTCACACTAAAACACTTCAGCAGACAACCCCTGACATTGGCTAGCACCCTGTTTCCCTGGGTTTGGCAGCTCCCAGCTCTGTGCCTGCCCCAGAGCTCTCCCAGCAGATTGCTGAGCGCACCGGGCTGCTTCAGGACTAGGCTCAGGGCTGCTGGTGTTTCCAGAGGGCCTGGATGCAATTACCAGCCGCTTGCTTCTGTGAGTACGGTGAACGCCGGCACCCTGACGGCACAGGGCCGAGCGCTCAGGCACTTACCCAGATCATGTATTTGATTATTCTCCGGGTGACAACGGTGTACTCCTCTATCAGCTCCGCCAGGTAGTAGAGCCCTGCCGCTGCAGGGAGAGAACAGCTCGCTCAGGCTCGGGGACCGTGGTACAAAGGCCGCGGGGGTGCTGACCGCAGGGACCCCCGTGTGCCCGGTTTGGGAACACCTGAAGGCCAGGACGGGGTCCCCCAGCCCCTGAGACACCCCCTACCTCGGGGACACCCACGCCACCCAAGAGCCCACAGG